CACACACACACACACACACACACACACACACACACACACACACACACACGCACGCACATGTGTGTGTGTGTGTGAGCTGTAAAAACTTCACCACAGCAACACCTTTTCTGTGTGCGTTGTCGGTCTGTTTATGCTGTCATTGCATCGGCATTTAACTGAGGCTGTTTCCCCAAATTCTGAAAGGGATCTGATGGAAATATTTGCTTTATCGGATGTTTAATAGTTTATCTCGTATTTCTGATTACCTATCTTTACAGCGACTTGTATGATTCCCTACATCCGTCTGCTCACCAGGAAGTGTGTTGCGAGTATGTGTATGGAAACAAATTCTGACGAATCATCCATAGATAAGGACACCCACCAGTTTCGGCTGAGCGAAAATGGCAGATCGGAGCTTGATAAGTCGTCGACAAGGAGCTGAGGATTGGGCGGCATGGCGGCTACCCCTGCGTCCCCAGCAACCCGACATAATGCTTCCGCATCTCTCAGCGTCGACTCCAGGTCAATTCGCCCACTCAACTCGTTGATGAACTTTAATAGAGTGTCAAATTCCATCTGCAGAACACAATGGACAGAACATTACCAAGTAGGCTCTTGTGAAATCAGAGCAGGGTGCTCCATTACAAACATTCAGAGGCTTGGCCACATATGATCATTCATGTCCCCATAGCAAACAAACAGGGACCCATTCCACAGCTAGTCCAGCGACTAAAGATACACAGTACCAAAGATGCAGTCCAAGACCACAGGACCGTGCTTACCACCAAAATGAAATGAACATTGCAGAAAACAATCTTCTTTCAAGCACCATCACTCTACCGTCTCTGCTTCCTGAAAGTACAAAAAAGGAAGACTGTGTTTTCAGCTGTGTTAAACTCCGGACCGTCCGGTGGCCTGGCCTTCGTCTGGCAGGGGTCCCGGGCGGCCCGACCGGTTGGGTCCCCCGGTTTGGGGCCGGGCGAGCCCAGCGCAATTTTGCGTGGGTTGGGGGGGGAGGCCTTTTTTCGCGCGGGTGGGGGGCCGAGGCCTTTTTCGGCCACTGGTCGCCTCCCCAGGCTCCAGCAACACCTGGTGGAGTGTTTTTTTTGAATCTGCGAGTACTTTGAAGGGGGGGGGAAAGGTCTTCAAAGATCAGTCAATGACATCAGCCGCCAAGAAATCGATTCCCCCTTTGGCAGGCTACGACGTCGCGTTCGAATTCGAACACGGTATTCCCTGTTGCGAAGCCCGTCGTCACTGCCGTCGCAAAGCCGCACGTCGTCGCTGCCGTCGCGAACCCCGCTCGTCGTTGCTGCCGTCACGAAGCCCGCCCGTGGTCGCTGCTGCTCCTCGTCGAGCTGCCCATTGTTGTCTCCGTCCAGCTGCCCCGTCGAGAAGCCCTCCCCATCGTCGCTGCCCGTGAAGCTGCTTTTGCCATCGTAGTGAACCCTCCTCCACCTCTTTCCTTCTTCTTCTTCTTCTTCCTCTCCTCCTCCTCCTCCTTTCGTATTCTTCTTCTCCTCTCCTCCTCCTCCTCCTCCTCCTCCTCCTCCTTTCTTCTTCTTCTCTCCTCTTCTTCTTTTCTCGTCTTCTTCTTCTCTCCTCTTCCTCCTACTCCTCCTTTCTCCTCCTCCTCCTCCTCCTCCTCCTCCTCCTCCTCCTCCTTTC